CAGTTCCCTGCAAGGAGGGCCGTGTGGCCCTTTCTTGAGGCATTTCTCATCATAGCAGCTTGCTTCCTCAAAGTCAGTGGGGGAACTAGTACATGGTCATTGTAATCTAATCCTCAGAGTGCCATACAACATAGTCTACTTATGGGAGGGGCATCCCATGTCTTTGCTATCTTGTATTTGTTAGAAGCTAGTCCCAGATCTTGCCCGCACTCAAGAGGAGGGGATGATACAAGGGTGTGGCTCACTGGAGGTCTCTTTAGGATGCTCCCACCAAACACACCTATGCAGTTGTGGGGCTCCCTACTTTCCCTCTCATTGCTTCCATATTTTCTTTGTTTTGTTCTTGTGTGCGTGTATACATATATGTATGTGTGAAGGAGAGAATTTCTTCTTCCATGTCTTCTCTTTGTCCTTCTGCAATTTCTCATGTAATTTCTACACCTTCCCCCTTACAGCTCTCTGTACCTACTCCCGTTTATCAGTAATATTCCTTAGACACTGGCACCCAGAATTGACCATGCTGCCACTAGCAGACCAGTCCAAGTATTATGGGCCTATTACCTTCCTTTATCTGGATACTATAGTTCTAAAATTAAGTTGACCTTCTTTAGAAGGCATCCCACATTTTTTACTGCTACTAAATTTGAAATCACATCAATTCCATTTTTATATGAAGTGCTGTTAATTCAAGCCTTCCCAGTTTAGAAATTAGACTTGCTATTTATTTATCCTTTTTGATTTATACCTTGTTGCTTTCAGCCCAACATCCAGACTAGGAATCTTTTCTCTGCTGTCCAGTGGATTAGTTATTCCTCCAGCCTTAGGTTTTCCATGGATATGAGGAACAAGCCATCTATGTTGTCACATGCTTACTAGTTAATTGTGGACTGGGCCCAAAGAGACTCCTGCAGCGCATGTCTAGGGACTTAAACCACCTACTCATCAGCCTTGACATTACTGTGTTGGTTTGATTTTTCAACTCAGTACTAAACCAACCCTTTTGCGATGTCACTCAACTCATATTTCTCCATCTTATTCATGATAATACTCTGAGAGATTTCTTCAAATGTCTTGCTGAAATCAGAATACATTACATTTATGAACAGTATAGGTTTAAGATAATGAGTGTTAAATCTGTGATATTGAGTCTAACTTATAAGCATTTAAAGAGGTTTCAAATCATTCATGAAATGTACTGAGTTGCAGTGATAGTGAAGATATGTAATTTTTAAATTAGCAACCAGTGGCAGTGATCATTCTCAGTGTTTTTGACTGGGTGATTGTCATGTGATAGAGCAGATATAACCACCTGCCAGTGGGTATCAGGAAGTTATATGTATCTCAACAATGTGTAAACATTTCTATTTCTGACTTTATGTATGCTGTGATTTTCATGACAAATATTTACTGATGGAGCATTTATAGGAATGTTTAAATGCTTGTTGTTAAAAATGTTTATAAAATTTGTAATTTATAATGTTTGTAAACATAAGAATGTTTAAATGATTTGCTTGATTTAAAACTTAGGTCTTGTATTACTATGTTTTTAAAGTTAAAAATGTATAGTATATCAGGTAAGTATAAGATTATTCATGTGCTGTTATTTTAAGATAACTTGGTTGAGATAGAAAAATAGAAATCTAGACCCCTTTGGTATTAATACTTTGATTCTTTTTGATATTTAGATATATGCAGTTAACAGCATATGATTCATGAAATATATAAAGGACCTTACATGTTTATAAATATACTATGTATTTTCTGAGAATTTCTTTAAATATGAAGTGTATTTTTAAAAGCTTCTTGAATTTAATTTTAAAGAAAAGAAAATAGAAACACTAATAGAAAGCTTTGTGTCATATACAAAGTAGTCAGATAGCCTACTTACCAACAATGTTCTATTGACTCACTAAAGCCAAACTTAACATATTTTTCCTTATTCTCATCCAACTGGAGTTGGTTATTTTTGAAGTAAAAGCAACAGATGCAGTAACAATTTTTTCTTCTTATCTCCAGCCAGGATTTACCTAAATTTTGGTAAAGAGTGAAAATATAGAACAAATGGAACCATCTGCCACTCCCAACCAACTAGCCCCTAACCCACTGTTGGGGACAATGCTGGTGCCACATGAGTCAGCCCCTGGACAGAGCTCCTGCTGGGCCTCACTTCAGAGCGTTAGGACAGATCCTGGCGGCACACATTTTGGGATGTGATTCCATCACCAGCTAGTCATTTAGACATCAAAGAAGCTTTTAATTTGCATTTAATTACTATGAGAAACCACCTACCATATCCAGCAATAGCTATTGTATAAAAAACAACCACATCAGTATGTACTTTTATTGAAATCTGAAAAAGACTTAACTTCTTCAAATGCTAAATAAGAATATGTTTAATTCTTTCTTATGTCTCATTCTTATAAAATTGTAAGTAAAAGAAGATACTATGAACAGAAAAGATTATTTTGTCTTAGGTGATTTATGCTTTATAAAAATTTTCATTTCTTTGAAAGAAGTCTTTAAAGTAAAACATCTAAGTAGATGGTTTAGCCCATTTATCAATGGGAATTTTTAGACTAACATACAACTTCAAATTAGAGTATATTACTATTTTCATGAGAATTTTTATTGGAATAATTTTTGTATGTTCTGCTGTGAATTTTTAGTTTCACAAAAAATCACTAAGCTTATAATCAAAGGTGACTGTGCAGAGCTGTGACTGATAAATCTTGTCACACAACAAACTTACATAAACAACTTGTCCTTTGTCAGGTTTATGAGTTTACATCTGTTCGAATGACAGATGTCAGTACAGTTAAGATACAGTTTAATTTGGGTGTGTTAATCTAAAAGAGGCTCACATTTTAATCATTTGCACCTTATAAACAAATGTGGCTATTGCAATTAACATAATTAGTTCCTTCCTTGATGAAGAAACATTAGCACACAACACTAGTAGCTATTTGGATCAAGCTTTTATGGGTATGACCTGTAAGGAGATCTCAAAATTAGCCATTGTGACCATTTTGTGAGCCATTATGACCAGTCAGAAAAGAAGTCTATTGATTAGCAATGGCTGACATTTCAAAAATGGCTGTGTGGAAAAAATGTTATTGGATTTATTAATGTTTCTCATCAGCTGTGATCACCAAGAAATTTAAGTGAAAATGTCACAAGCTGAATCTGCTTAACAATTTGCTATTGTAAAATTTTAAACAAGTTTTATAACCTCTAATTTTGATTGGTATATTAAAAATTCCACTTTATTAGATCATTACTGGGGACTTAAGAAAAATTGTATGGGAAAAATAAGTGAAAAAATAACTTGGGAATTAGGTTTAGATATTGAAAAATTCTGATTTTTTTATTGAAATTCACATGACATGAAGTTAGCTATTTAAAAGTAAACAATTTCATTCATTTTAGGAATACAAAGACATTAATAGCTAACATACTACACTGTATGTTTTATAGTGAAATACCAGAGTTAAGTTAAAAAGCTAGAAATATATAAAGTTTGAAATACTTTGAAGCAAGATTTGTATTACTTTAAAGCAAAGACTGTATGTGTTTATTTTATACTACACTGTATGTTTTATAGTGAAATACCAGAGTTAAGTTAAAAAGCTAGAAATATATAAAGTTTGAAATACTTTGAAGCAAGATTTGTATTACTTTAAAGCAAAGACTGTATGTGTTTATTTTAAATGTTATAAGGTTTCTCAGGTTTCTCTGTAATTGGCGTAATTTATTCACATAAAAACCTCAATTCCTTGACCATTCCCTACCTTGATTATACTCTGTTTATTTAATAAAGTTAAACACACAGAGACCCAGTTTAATTAAGCATAAATTATTTGTATTATAGAAATGTTGAAGTACAAATAAAATTAGAATAATATAATTAATGCCTCCTAATTTCCTACTTCAACAACTGAAAACATGTGGTTAGTCTTGTTTTACCTATTTTCCCCACCACTGTATTATTTTGATGCAATCTCCAGACATCATGTTTTGTCATTAATACTTTCATATGTATCTCTTGTTGATAATAACTCTTAACCAAAATGTGGCTCTTTTAAATTATTAATATTATTATTTTATATTATCTGACATATGGTCTTTGAATTGGCATAAATTCAGCAGCATCAGTGAAATAATCTAGATTATTCTGTGCCTGAAAATTTCATTAGAGAAGAAAATAACAGTATAAAGCAGAGAGCTATGGTAATTAACCACTTGCCTTTTGAGGTTGGTAAACTACTTATAACAGATTGGATATACCTGGTATTGTTTTGTCTGGATGGAGTGTTTTTACATGACAGGGTGAGCATAAGGAAATCACAGAAATAGCAAACCAAAAGGACGCCTGATGGCAAGGAAGGAAGCCATGTACTATTTCCACAAAGATGTGGTCAAGGGAGGAAGAGGGAAGGACAAGGGGAAATGTGAGAGAGTGTGAAAAGAGAGTCACCTGTGACATTGGGCTAGTGCTTTCTCCAGAGAAATGAACAATTCTAAAATGGAAGAATAATGGAGACCTATAGAAAATAATGAGTAAACAAAAAATGATCAAGAGAGAAAGGTGAAAGAAGAACAAATTTTTTGAAAATCAGTACTCTAGAAATGTATGTATTAAGGGGCAAGACTATGGCTTTATTCCTATTTTTACTAGTCATCTTAACAGGGAAAATGTTTTTAGTAAGGCTACAACCACCATTTCTGCCTCTAGGTATAGACAGACAGGTACCTCACCAGCTGGACTTTATGATTTGCCTACCCAGTGTGCGTAAGTTCACCAGGTTTTGTTCAGGAGCTCAAGTGTTGTTGAGGAAGGCCCTAGCCAAGGAAACGTGGCTGTTACTTCATGATTTAGAATTAGTTTCTGCTCTAATCAAAACTATGCATGTGAAGTCCTGCCATGTAATGCTGTCAGAAAAACCTAGTTCATTCCTGGACACGGCAGAAAAAGAATTTTTGTCCTCATTCTGGTATTTTGAGTTGCTGAAAAAAATGTATTGTGTTTGACTTCATCACAGTGTAATGTGTATATTACAAGATTCTACTTGTGTTGACAAAAACACCACCTTGAACCTCTTAGGATTATAACATTAAGTTATCTCAAACTGCTTTTTTGGTTTGGGGAAAAGCAAACAAAACTTTACCTACACTTGAACTAAATGAAGCTCATCACTTTTAAAGATTTGAACAGAACTTGTTTTTGCCAATAATCTTTTTGTTGTATTTCATTACGTGTTTTAAAAACTGCAAATATAGACAACTGTCTACTAATTAGGTGACAAAATAATTGCTAATATTTATCATGTCTCCAGTATTATAAACTAGATGCTTTCTCTCTTTAATCCTAACAAGTTAGTCAGAAATGTACATATTTTAGAGATGAGGAAACTCAGACTCAAAGAGGACAAATATGTTATTCAAGATAACTCAGCTTATATGCAGAGAGGCTGGAAGCACACTTGGTCTGGTAATGCTAAAGCTTGGAATCTGTTGTGCCATCCCACCTAATATGTGTAAAATACCTTGTGTAGTGCCCTATCTGGTGGTTATGCAAAAAGAGTTGTCTTACCTCCAATGGTGGGGAAACCGATCCGGGTTCTCATTTAAACAAACAGTCGTGTACACCTAAGTAACCCTGGAATGACACAGGAATACTTGGAGGCTCTTTCTAAACAACTGGGCCTTCAGCAGGCAAGAAAGCCTGAATTAGAAGTTATTTATAATCCATTAGTTCATTGATTGCATCCTATAAGAGAGCATGTAGGGTACATCCTTTCTGCTAAATAACAATTAATATTCATTTTAGTGCACATCTTAGAAATTTACTACATTTTAATAGTCACCCTTATATCAAGAAGTTAGAATTAGTTTTACTCTTTCCAAAATGATCTTTAAACTTTTATGCCATTCTGGAGGTACACTGATGTAATAGCTTAAACATACACATATATGGATATATGGATAAGAATATTTAGATTGTTGAATATTTATGGATATTTACATTCATTAAAAACAAAAATATGAGCACTTTTGCTGATGAACTAAAGTTTCCAACCAAGTAAGTACCTTGGCATGATTTTATTAAAAAAGAAATATTTCCTACACTTTGAATTATACCGAGAGTTGACATGTTTGCAGGTTCTAACAGTAAGTTACCATGGTCACACAATTTGCCCCATGTAAATAATGCAAATATAATTAAATTCATTGATTTATTAGTAAATATTACATATTGGTTTATGGGGAAATGAAGGGGTCAGGCAAAATATGAAATTCCCCTAGAAGGTCTTTTCCTTTGTAGTTATGAAGTCTTAAATAGTTTTAAAATTACAAAAGTCATGTAAATTACCTTGCAAAAATTTTAGAAAACAGAAAAGGTAAATAAATATGGAATACCACTGTCTCAATACGATCATTGTTCACTTAGTGATAAATTTCTTCCAGTCTTCTTTTCTGTGCATTATTAAAGTTTTTATAGGAATACAATTTTATGTCCTGGTGTTGTATCCCCTACTTAGCCTTTTATAGTATACAATATTCTTAACCATTAATATTTAATGAGTTAAAAGGTTGGATGGGATAATATACAAATAATTTACCTTTTCATTTCCTGTGTTCTTTCTTTTCTCTAACACAGAAACAGAAACAATCATAATCCTTCCATTATAGAAACTGTTTTATTTTACCTTATTTAAAATACATCTTACTTAACCAATTAACTAATTTTAATTACTGAATCACACTAGAACCCACCATGCTGCCCAAACCAAGAAACAGAATATAACTGGTCGTTGATGTCTTTATGAGGGTACTTGCCCCACTTCTTCCTCCTGCCCTCGTAGGTGACTGCTCTTGAATTTTGTGTCTGTTGTTCCCCTGTTTTGTTTGTTTTGTCTCATAAGTAGGAGAAGCTATTACTTAGTTTCATTGTTTTACACTTTATGAAAAGCTGTCACAGTGTATATACAATGTTTTGAAACATGCTCTTTTTCATTAAACATTGTATTATAAGGATTCATTGATGTCATATGTAGCAGTAGTGCAGTCATTTTTACTACTTCCTAATAGTAAATAGGAAAAAATACCATAATTTGTCTACTCATTTTTCTGTCACTGGACATTTGAGTTCTTAGAGTTGTTTTTAGTATTACAAACAGTGCTCCTATGAGCATTCTTATCCATGTCTTCTGTACACATGCATGTGATTTTTCTCTTGAGTATATATGCCTAGGACTGGAATTCCTGTCTTACTTAGCATATGCAAAACAATCAACTTTATGAAGTAGAGTCAAATTCATAGTCAAACTGTATGACAGAATCTGTCAATCTATATCCTGATCAACATTTGACATTTGCAATTTTGCCAACTTAAAAATGGTGTATTATTGTGCCACTGATTTGCATTTCCTTGCTATCTAATGAGTTTGAACATGTGCATTTCTTCCTCTGTAAAATACCTGTTCAGGTGTTTTGTCCATTTTTTTTCATCAGAGCATTTGTATTTTTATTGTAGAGATTCCTTTTGTGTTTAGAATACTAATACTTATATTCAAGACAAATATCTTCTGTCAGTTTCTATCTTATATTCTTAATTCTGTAAGGTGCTTTTAATGAAACTGAGTTCCTAATTCTTCTGTAATGTAATTTATCCATCCTTCCTTTTATGACGATTGCTTTTAGGAACTTTATAAATTCTTCCTTATATCATCTGTGTTTTTTGTCCAAAAGTTTATAAGTTTTACTACTGACATGTAAATTTTTAATCCACCTGTGGTAGATTTTTGGTATATGGTATAATACAGAGTTCCAATTTCATTTTTATTCATATAAATAACCTTTTCTTTTATGTTGTATGTGTATATAACTGGACTCTGTTTTTTGGCTCCTTGTTTTATTCTAATTTTAAATTTATCTAACCCTGCACCAAAACCATGCTGTTTAAATTACTGTAGCTTTATGGTTTGTCTTCATCCCTTTTTCTTCACATTTTCTTCTTCGTATCTTCTCTCATTTTCTTCTTCAAAAGTGTCTTGATTTTTCCTGGCCCTTTGTTCTTCCATAATACATTTTACAGTCAAATTAATTATTCATCACAGCCTGTACTGGAAAATCTGTCTTTCCCCTTTGTGCACCTGCTTCTGTAAAAGTCACAGCTTTGAGAGGAAACAGAATATCTGCTTTTTGCAAATAAATGTATCCCAAAGAGAGGGGAAGAGGCTGAGATCTTTCTGATAAATTCTGTATCCTAGACTCATCCATCAGAAAAGTCATTCTAGTTCTTCTGGGAAACACTGGGTGAAGGATGGGCCAGAAAGCCAAGGGAAGCTTAGGGAAAATCTACAGAGGAAAACTGGGTGAATGATAAATAAGACCTCCCCCGACTTCCAGCAACTCCCTAAAATTTCCACGAGTATCTCTGCGGAAATTATCAGTGTGCCCTCACATACTTTGAGTGCTCTGACTCATAGGAAATGGTCCTTTGCATTTATTTATTCTACTGAAGAAACTACTGAAGAGATCATCTTCCATTTTTTTGAATACTTTATAACTTTTAAAATCTTTTTTGAACTAAGAAAGAATGATCCACATTTTACTTAAGTAGAAGATTTATTGTTTATATTTCTAGGGTATTATCCTACAATTACTAAGAATTCTACCTTGCTACCTATGACATATAACAAAGTATTGAATAGCCTTTGGTACTTCCTAAAATTCTTTAAGAAAAAAAAGCAAAACTTTGAAGCAAGAATTTAATGCCACTTTATGGTCCCCCCCTCACTCATCCCCTGGTACATTTTTGAGAATTAGATTATTAGCTGAAACCACAGCTATTATAAAATTTCTGCTAATGGCCACCTTTCCCCCTTATATAATTCTTATTACCTATAAGGAGAAAGTTACATCATATGAGGAAGATATCTGTCTTTCTTCCTTCTAATTACTTCTTTCTCAGCTTCAGCTAGCAGTGAAGATCCATCAAGTACCTTTCTAGGAAAGAAACTTAAATTCTGTGGGTAGTATTGGCTCTATAATACTAAAATCCTCCATTGGTTCACTACCAAACATGCCAGAGTAATTATCTTCCTTTGAGGCAATATGTTGGGCTTCTTGGTTCTTTTGTATTAGAAAGGAAAGTACTACATTCTGATTTCTGATTTCATATTTTCTATTGGAGCATGGAACTCTTTGTGGGACATATTGGCAACAGGAAACCTTATGTGCAGATTCAGACATACATGCATATGTAAATATGTGTTGGCAACACAAAATCTTACACACTCATACATATACACATGTATATATACGCTCACATATATATACATATGTGAGTGTGTGTGTGTGTGTGTGCACGCTTGTGCAGATGCATCCTGGAGTATTATGGAATACGCTCTGGGAATCTAAGAGGTAAAGGCATGAAAAGTAGCAGACCACAAAGAAGCCTTTTGATGCTACCGTGAGGCTTTGCACTAAGCAGTGTGGGAGCATAGGGGACAGGCCAGCTAACAGCTGACATTTCAGGTGCAACTTGAAAGGCTGTAGAAAGATTTGTCCGAAGAAAGTAGGAAAGGGGACTTCCTGTCCTCCATTCTCTATGGCTTCTTTTCCATCTCTTGAAGATTAGTAGTAATGCAGTATTTCCCAGAGTTCTCTGCTCGGTCCCCCTCTTTCTCCCCTTTTCCCTGGTAAACTTGGCCAGTTCCACAGCATTACTCATCCCCCAACAGGGAATAATTCCGTTTTCTCTCACCAAACCTCATCTCTCTGCAGAGCTCCAGGCTTTTATTTTCAGCTGTTAGACTTAATCTGGCTACCCTTAAGGTACTTGAAACTTAGTTATGTTCAAACTGAACTTATTTTATTAATGGCACTGTTCACCCATATTTGAAATCATAAAATTATGTCTGACTCTTTACCCTGTTGCACCTCTTGCACTGTTAAACACAGAGACACACACAATGTTTTTATTGCTGTGTGATATCACTTCCAATGTCACTGCCACTACCCAGGTTTGTCGCTTTTAGTATCTGTTGTCTCTTACATCCCAGATCACGTAAATGCACAGTTCCCAGCATGATCTTCTTAATAATCACCATGTGATTAAAAATTTTTCACTGGCTTTTAGAATATAACTCAATTTCCTTAGCCTGATAGTCAAGGCCTCTGCGTTCTAAAATCACTGAATGTTCTAGGCTTGGTTCCCACTTAGTGCTTTTAAGACCTCTATCTTGGGCCAAAGCAAACTGGTTCCTGTTTCCCATGACTGGAGTGCTCCTGCCATGTGCTTTTATTCATTAATTCAACAAATATTTATTAAGCCTCTGTGTGCCAGACATTGGATTTTTGAGCAACATAGTGAACAAAATGACAGAAATCTCAATTCCTGTCTTCATGCAGCTTACATTCTAGCAGGAGGAGGAGGTTGTGGGGGGATGATAAACATAAGAAATTAATATGTTTTATACTATGTTAGAAGAAGGTATATACCATGGGTGAAAACAGAGCAGGGCCAAGGGGGTGTAAGAGGGAGGCCGGTGGAGATGGGGGGTGAGAATGGGAAATAGGTAGGAGAGACCTCTACTTCTGTTACGGTTTCTTAATCTTTGGATGCACCCATTCTTTAAATCCAAATAGATT